CGCGGATAGAGCGTCGGCCTATGAACCAGGTTGGGGTTCGGTTGCATCAGGGCACAGACCTGGGTTGGGGGCTCCACGTGGGGGGGTGGCGTGCAGGAGGCAGCAGATCTGTGATTCCCTCTCATCACTGATGTTTCTATCCCTCCCTCTCCCTTCCTCTCTGAAATGAATAAAAATCTCTCTTTTAGCCGAAACCAGTTTGGCTCAGTGGATAGAGTGTTGGCCTGCGGACTGAAAGGTCCCGGGTTCGATTCTGGTCAAGGGCATGTACCTGGGTTCCGGGCACATCCCCAGTGGGGGATGTGCGGGAGGCAGCTGATCGATGATTCTCTCTCATCGATGTTTCTGACTATCTCTCTCCCTTCCTCTCTGTAAAAAAATCAATAAAATATATTTTTTAAAAATCTCTCTTTTAAAACGGAACAGGTGTCTATTACTCAAGGGATCAGGTCAGGTAGTGACCCCTTTTGGAGGTGAACTGGGGGGGTGACAAGGGGAGTGTGTAGACTCCAACCAGCAAGCCCGTGGCCACCAGCGTGGAGCGTGCGCGCCCCCATGTGGCTCGTGCGGGAGTCACCCCAACAGCGAGGACCCTGCTGGGGCAGAGGCAGCGAATAGGGCGGGTGGGGTCCCGGCACCATGAAGGGTCCACCTCAGGGGACAGGAGGGACTCGGAGTCACCCTGACAGAGTCCTCGGACAGGAGCCTGTGCCCTGGGGCAGGCGGGCAGGTGCTCGGTCACGTGGGCAAAACAAGTGGCCCAGCCAGCGTGCTCCGTGGCTGAGCATCGACCTATGAACCGGGCCATGGCTGGACTCCCGGCCAGGGCACAGGCCGGGGTTGCGGGCTCCATGCCCAGTGGGGGGCGTGCAGGAGGCAGCTGGTCCATGATTCTCTCTCATCACTGGTGTTTCTCTCCCTCTCTGAAAACCAGAAAAATATATTTAAAAAATAAAAAAATAAACTTATGGGGCTCTCATGTGCTTTCCTAATAAATAATGAGTGCTGTTCTCTGGGTTGGTTTTGGTGGATTAACATGATCACGGGCCGCCGTTTTCCTGCCTGTCGGCGTGCTGCTAGTTTTTCTACTGGCCGCAGAGCACCGCCAACCTTACATGGTCGACGCTGGCTTCCCCTGCACCTTCCACCTCTCCTCCGGCTCCGCTCTGGGTGCGTGACGTTGTCTGGAAACAATCTGATTCCTTCAGGTCCAGATTTTAAGCTTTGGGGGGAGATTAGAGCCGCTTTAGGTCTCAGCCCCATTCGGGGGGGTTTCTGAGGCAACCTGTGGAGCACTTGACTCAACGCCCACAAACCATGACCTCCCCCTTTGGGTCCCAGCCGGGGGGCTGACACTAGTTCTAAGCCTTCTCGGGGCTCCTTGGCTCCACGGTCCCCCCAGACGCAGGTCCTAGGACTCAGACGGAGACCACAGGACCCCTCCCCCGTGGATCCGGGGTGCGGTCCCCAAGGCTCCCACCCACGACTCTGGCCTGCACGCTGCAGTCGCTTTTGCTCCTTGAATCCAAGCCCATCACAACTTGGGGGGCTGCTGGGCTCCACCTGGTCACCTCTCTGGGCCACAGCCTGGAAATGCCCCAGGGAGCAGCTGGAGTATTTTTTATTATTAATATGCTTTTAGTGATTTCAGAGAGGAAGGGAGAGAAACATCAATGATGAGAATCACCCATCGCCTGCCCCCTGCACGCCCCTACTGGGACCGCGACCTCCTGGTTCATAGGGGGATGCTCAACCACTGAGCCGCGCTGGCCGGGGTGGAATTTTTTAAAGTCCTCACCGGAGGATCTTCTTCCATTGATTTTTGTTTTTTTGAGAGGAAGGAAGGGACGGGGGGCGGGGGCGGGGGACAGAGAGAGAGCGCGATGTGAGAGGGACACATCTCTTGGTTGCCTCCCCCCCACTCCCCGAGCGGGGCTGGGGATCGAACCTGCAACTGGGGCACTTGCCCTTGACCCTTCAGTCCGTGGGCTGGCGCCCTAACCCCTGAGAGCGAGCCAGGGCAGAGCTGGAGCCTTCGAGGGGCTCCCCTCACTTGTTTCCATTTCAGAGGTCCCTGCTCGTCATGGTTTGATGTTAAATGTCACCCTGGCCGGTGGGACTCAGTGGTTAGAGAATCATTTTCCATGTTCTGGGGACACGTGAACGAATCGCGGAGGCGGTTGTGAGCGGCTTGACTGTGGCACCGTCTCACCCTCAGGCACTGTACGCGGGGCGTCACTTTCACTCGTGAAGGGACCCTGCGTGAAGGTGGGTGTGGCCTGTGGGTTTGAAGAGAAGGCGGTGCCCGGCCCGCACAGTGGACGCGGATTGAGTCTTTGCCGGCGGGTCAGGGAACAGGTGTTTCTGGAACATCGCAGCGTGGACGGCCATGGCTGGGCTCCCTGGGGGCCCGCGGGGTCAGCACATGGGCTTCCGGAACCCCAGCCCGAGCCCCTTCCCCTCCAGGTCCTGGTCCAGGTCTCCGCCCACG